CCGAGGCACTCCCAGGCCAGTCAAGAGACATAGTCCCTCCAGCGTGTCCTGGGTCTCCCCTGGGGCCTCCTCCTGGTGGGACATCCCTGGAACACCTCCCTAGGAAGGTGTTTTAAAGCTCCCCAAGATGAGAAGGCGCCAATGTATGTGCTTGTCACTATCTAAACAGACAGGATTTTTAAATCCAGCATAACAGTGGCATACACCAGCCACTGTGGATTAAAACAATTTTTAAAATGCACTGAGATAAACATTTGTTTCACAACAATACGCACTTTTCTTTATTAATTTACAAAGTGCTTCAGCAAAGTAATAATAATAATAAACTATAAAAATAAAACAATCACACAGAGATAAAAGCCATTCAGTAAATAAAAAAAGTTTTAGCAGGTAAGTTGTTTGAAAGTTTAAGGGCCTGAAGTGCAAAGACACCAAGCGGGCCCAAGAGACCACTGTCTGCTGACCTATAGCTGCGTTCAGCAGTTCTCCCCATTCATTTCTATGAGGGGTTGGGTTCACTGCACCTGGCACTGGCACTGCAGGGGGCTCTGGCAAAATGATGCAACCCCGTGTTGCATCATCAAACAAAAACCTGGATCTCATTCAACTTTCACCACATTGGACGGTGACTGTGTTGACCAATCACGTACGGGGGATGTTTGGGCTGTGGACGCCCATGGGAAGAAGACTTGTTTTACCTTGTTAGCAGGAGCATTCGCTGCTATTCACTGTCAAATTTGGGCCACAATTAATACACCATAATGACACACCATGCATTTTTGTTAGTGCTAGATGTTAAATTGTGTGTGTGAAGACAAGATGTTGATAATGCCACATTTCTATAGAAATGGGAAAGTATCATTTACACTTTCAGACAGTTCCAGATGGAAGTGTTACAAAAACAAGTGTTAAGCTTTAGGGTATAGTTAGTTTGTATAAGGTAAGAATCCATGTTTTTTGCTTTTCAGGTTCCAGAAAAATAGAAGAAACATACATGAGGAAACGTATGTTTTGACTGCTTTGGTGGTCTGCTGCCACCATGACTGAGGGGTTTGGTGGTCTGCTGCCACCATGACTGAACAGCGGGAAGAAAAGGCCAAATGCATTATGAAATAGAATAGAAGCAGCTGAAAGGAAGTCGACACAGTCAGTGTGGCCTAATACTGAATTCACAAAATAACGTGAAAGTGTGATTTGATACTAAGTGTAAGATGTAGTATTATGCTGAATGGAACCAAAATTCATGGCGGTGTTTCCCTCAGTGGACAAATGGTATTTGCATGCTTTTATTTTCCCAAAGAAAACCGTACTATCACAGTGTCAATTCAACTTTTTCTGCCATTTCACTTATAGAAAACTTATGCCTAACTGTGTTTAAGATAAGTTTTCAAATGTACTGCCATTTTGTAAAACAGAGAATGCTGATTAATCTTAAAGCAGTTCTTAATATGTAGAAATGCACAAGTGAAACACACATTAATATCCTTTAAAATGGCAGTTTGCAGCCTTGTTTTAAACATTAATAAATGCCCTCTGAATAGCCATGTAAATCTTTAAAGAAACAATCCATGAACCAACACTTGGTTCCCCAACTCTGACCTGCCCTAAGCTCAGGCTACATTGGTTAAACACCACTTGTCTAGTAATTTCAGAGATTTCCCAGAGGTAAACAATCCTGCTAAGTGTCTTTCTGGACAACCTGGCTGTTCTCCTACATATACACAACAGCAGCTATCAGTGTGAGACAGGCAAAATATTTTCATTAGGCTAAAGGCCACCGCTTGTCCCCATTTCCTCTGCTATCCTGGAGGGATACAGGAATGGGATGATTAGATAGTGACAAGCACATACGTTGGCGGACTTCTCATCCTGGGGAGCTTTTTCGAAGTGGTGCGGGAAGGATTGTGACTACATTGTTGTGCTGACATGAATCAAATCAGTTTTACCACTGCACTCCTGAGTAAGGAGTTTTTTTTTTTTTGTCAGTGGGAAGCTCATTCACTAATAACGTAAATCCAGTCAAATCAACGTTTATTTGACTGAGCTGAGGGAGAGCTGTAAAATAAGCAGCCAGAAGGGAGAAGCTCAGAAAAAGCACTGTCATCCCCCTCCTTCAGCCACATTTCAGTCAATAGTAGAAAATCCAACTCCTGTGAAGAGAAAATAATCATGGATGATAAATGTCTTATTTGAAAGCAACTTTGCCTTAATAGCAAAGCTAAACATCACAGGAATTTGTTTGCTGCCAGGATACATGGGTAAATGAGCGAAGATTCTCCTTGTGTACAGCTCTACCAGAGAGAGAGAGAGAGAGAGAGATTGGTTTAAACCCTCGGTAGCTATGGTGACATGATTCCCATGTAAGGTACCGGAGTGTAATGCCATCGGTGGAGGATGATGGTCTCCTCAAGAGAAAGAGCTACGGTAGGCCCTAACCTTCACCATGTGTCTTCCTCTGCTACCATGTGTAACCACACACTGTGACAAATTCAACATCTTTTGTGACTGAAGGGCATTTTGGTCCACTCGCATAGTGCCAGTTGTAAAATTCTTATCTTTCCCTTATATGGATTCAAATCCCCATTAAATTCACCAGAGTCGGTAACCGATTTAATTTCTTGGTCTAAATCTGCTTGATATGTTGATTGTATTGGTGAGTTTAGGCCAGTAAGCTTTTAGTATATGTTTCACATGTTAAAACTCTGTATCTGCATGAATGTACTAATGGAGGGTCAGATAAGGTATAAGGCTAGGTGTAATGTAACAAGAATGCCTCTCAGCAAAGCACTAATGATATATTGAAGAGCCAGTACTTAGTCTTTGGCTGCCCTGAGGCATTGGAAACCAACAAAAAAGCAATATGTTGGGCCCACAACTAAAACATAATGAATCATATCCCACATAACATTTTAAATTTCAAAATATGACCCTTAGGTACAGTATGCATCTTTAAAAATTGTCTAAAGGTAGCTAGACCACAAAGTAAATTGTCATGATGGAAAGAAAGGTGGGAAAGGATGTGAATTTACTCTAAACTGAGCTGAAATGTTTCATATGTGAAATGTTTGAACTTGAGTGACAAATGTGCGATTAACCAGTGGCTTTATGAATCCCCTTCATAAACACAGAGAGAGATGATGACATAGAAGAAAGCCTGGAGTTTCTGAGATCAAACTCTGATCTGTTAAACACACTTATGCTCCTTGAATGAAGCAAACTAGGAGAATGTTAAGTAGATGTAAAGCTGTACTGTACAGTAGCTAACATACTGTGTGACCAGCCAGAACATTGGCTGTTTGGGGTGAATTAATTCAGACTGCGCAGACATTACCAATCAAACTGCACATGTTGGAATATTTTATGGCATTAACCTTTGGTGCAATAATCCACAATGCATTTACAGTATATCTCCACATAGAAATAATTATTCTGTATCTCATTTCAACCAAAAAGTGTAAATGAAAGAAGAGTGTAATAGCCCCCATGTTGTACTTTGTGCACTGTACGTACGTATCAGTGCTTTTGAGACTAAATGCCGGTGACAGTGCCCTAAAGCAGCCTCTCCTCCCTGTTTACCACCAAGTGTTGTGTACAGCCTTACTTATTCAGGTCACATAAGACGGAGTCAGTTCACATACTGTAGGACTACAGAACATGTCTGCTTTAATTGTTTTCATCTCTGAATGAAGGTGACATGTTTTGACACGATGAAAAGTTACATAAGGTTCATAAGAAATTCTTTAAGTCAGTTTGGAGGCAGTGGAGCTGCCATAAATGAGTGGTACAAGGAGTTGTCACTTGAACTCCTCAAAGAGCAGCTTGTGGAAAGACATTCTAGTGGTGGTGGGAAAACTCAGTTAAGTAAGAAGTTCTGCTTTACTTATACTGGTGGACTAGACTACATACAGTTTGTCAAAGCAGAGTTTCTGAAGTTTTGGGGTGGAGTATAATGTGCAATGTCAAAATCTGCTACTGCTGAATAAACTAGTAATCCTAGATAAATCCTAAATATATATATGTATGTATATACAATATGCAGTATTGAAATAGGACCTCATCCATTTGATACCTTTGAAATGTCAAACCCTACACTGCCTTGCTTTTGCTTGCCCACCACAGATCCACAAAGGTGTCAAATATGTTACACTGTGCTCTTAAGGATTTGGCTTGACAGTAAACGTATGTTATGTACAGCAGGTAGATAAACATGAAAGCATGAATCATTTGCAGGTCAACACCTGCACAGTAAACTGACATGAATCATTTGCAGGTCAACACCTGCTCAGTAAACTGATTGTGTTGGTGAAGATTAAGGAAGAACGGGACCTTTACTAAACTGACCAGAGAACTGACGTGCTGATATTACAAACTATCACAAATTGCTGTTCATTTACTAGCATGGTTACTAAAGTACTGAGTCGTAAAGCAGCTGTGCAACTTGATTAGAAATCACTACTGCAATTAAGATTTTTTTTTTTTTACTAAGACAATTTAAACATGGGTCTCTGGAAAATGTTTGTTGCACCACAACATCATCATAAAGTTTAGCACATGGACAAAGTTTAGCACAGAAAAACAGAATATGTTCTGTGCTATTCTGTATTAGTATGCAGATACAGACAAGATAGCAACATTCAGCTCAATGAAATAATAAAAAGAGACACTGTATGTAATATATACGTTTCTTTAGATACAGACAATAAAAACCACCAGTTATATTCAGACAGCAGTGTGGAGTCAATGTGTCAAGACCATCAAAGTTAAATACAGTACAAACAGAAACTACAGACATTGCCTTCAATGCTTTTGTCATACTTTACAACATGATACTGTCTCTGGAGACGTCACAAACCCTTTGGACAGTCAGATGAAAATAATTCACACATAAGTACACACTTTAAAATGGTGCACAGGAGTTTCTAGGCTTTTCAACAGCTGTGATGAAATGACTGTAGATTCATAAATGATTATGACAGCGAATGACTGTTTATGAAGATTTCATAAGGCTGTCACTGCACATTAATCACACGCTATAAAGCAGCATGGCAGCCATAAATGTAGGTTTTAGTTTTAATTTATAACTAAAGTGATATATTGCTCTGCAGATCTGACAGGAAAAGGTTACTGGCTGTATGTATGAGTGATATCATTTGCTTACAATACAATCAGTTGCTTTTTGTGTGAAATTAAGCCTTTATCTCAAACCTTGGCATCCAAAAATACTTTTTCATCAGTGAATATATATATTTACCTGAAAATATGTCATTTCTCCTGTTCTATGCAGAATCAAGTGCTTTCAGAAATCACAGCTGATTTACAGACAACTGAGAAAATGGAGATGTTCAAAAGTCATCAGAGGAAAACTGAACAGCCAGCAGTGTGAAGGCTGACTCATCCATCTAATATAAATATTACTCATTTTGTGTTTGAGGTAATTTTGCACTGTGTATCAAATAATAGTAGTAATAATAATAATAATAATAATAATGGAAACTAGAATGTGTCTGATGACTAGTTATAATGTGACATGAGAAGGTAGTGGTACTTTCCTTTCTTCACTTTCAAATAGAGGCAAAACAGAAAGGTGACAGAGTCGACAAAGGATGATGACAATTAATGCAGACAGACAAATACAGTAGCTTGTTGAAAGCTCTCAGTCACCCCAACCCACTCCCCCACCTTAAAACACAGAAGTAGAACAGACAACCTGTTTATCAGCGTCCCACAATCAGCGTCCCACACACTGTCACATAAGACCGTTGCTATGTGGTTGAATGCTTCTGACTATGATGTGCTCATAATGTATATATAAATCATGCTCACACACATACACGTTCAATTTGTCTTCTTTTCAGAAATGCTAGATTTGCAAAAATATTTACATCAGGTAAGAGTGACTCATGTTCCCAGCATCGTGGACAATGTGTTGCACGTTTTGTAATAAATGAGTGAAATGGATTTGAATAGGTGACACAACATAGTTCTTCAAAAACAAACAAAAAACAGCTCGCTTGAGATAAATACTGTTGTTTTTTTTTTGCACAGCTTTGTGTTAGACATGATAATCTCATCCCATGTGCTTGTGAATAAGGCTGTGTTCAGACTGATTAGCACTGTGTACGGTAGAAATAAAAAAAAAGCAGCTCTTTCATTCATGTGAGTGAGGCCAGTTTATTGGTGTGAGTTTGAAAAATCAGAGGACTGAAAAATAAAAACAAGGTCACACTAAACTGTCAAACCTGTCTTAGCTTATGTCACAGTGGAAAAGACCATCATCTGGATATGCAGTTAGAGTAATATCACTCACGGTCATCAAGACAGAGTATAATCTTTTACCACAGTAACCTTGTGGCATTAGAGGAGTCAGTAGCCAGGTTTCCATCCAACTGTAGCACAAGTTTTGATTAAAATCTCAACAAAAGAAAAGAAAATGGACAAAAGAAAATGCGAACGAATGCATGTTTCCATCCACTACTGATATCCGACTCCTGGGAGTTGGTTTGTCAAAAGCAACTGGTGGCTATTTTTCCATTTGCTTCCATTTAACCATAGTGCAACACGATGAATCAAAAGAATGACAGTTAAAAGAACAAAATGATGTGGAAATGTGATGGAAATATGGTATTTGTTATACATTTTATATGGCATGATTTGGTCTCCAGGTTTGCTTCTATTGCTTTTATTGATGCACCAACTTTTCTCAACTAAGCATAAAATCCATTTTTCAAATCTTCTGTGTTTCCATCCTGTTTTGAAAGAGCACTTTGAAAGAATGTAATCATTTGTCATCTATATATTGGATCATTTGTAGCATGACTACACTGTAAAAGTTAGGGGGCAAAATGTGAAAGAGTATTCTTCAGCTGATGCTAATATGTTATGTCAGCAGTCTGAGTTAGTCACATAGGTGATTATCTTCTAAAATTACAGACCAGTTAGTGCAAAAATCCCCGTTTATGTTTTACCCAAAAAAGACACAAAACATATGCTGCTGACTAACATGAAGATATTTGATTTGGCTAATTATATTACTTTTGCACTGCAGACATGCCCCCTGTTTTAACAGTGTAGATGAGCTAGTGAGTCATAGTTTGTGTGGCCAAAAGGAATCATTATATAACTCTTCCAGTGGCATGTTAAGTGCTGTGTTGTGTTAAAATTGACTCCAAAAAAGAAAATGAAAAATAAAACTGAACCTATTTGTGGTTTTGCCTACTGAAAGTGGATTCCCTGAATGACATTCCCATCATCTCACCAATACCTGAAGAAACATTGCCCTCCCTCACACAGGCCCCTGCATCTTTTAACACAGTGCTGTATTCAGTCTGAACACCCACTCATGCACACATCTCAGTTATACTGTATGTACATCTAAGTAATTTGAGAATAAGGCTAGCAACAGCAGTGAATGGGAATGTGATGCATTTATATTCAGCAGAGCCAGATCTTTAAAAATGTCTTTTACAGTCAAGTATAATGAGCTGATAGTGAAGTGCATGTGACTTCATGTTGGCTTGTTGTTGCCGTGTGGTTTAAAGGATACACGTGTCAGTAAGGATCACGTTAACATGCTCAAGCATTAGCATGATGAAATCTTCAAAAAGCAAAGCACACAAGCTAATGAGATGATCCTGAAAATCAGCCACATTAACTGCACACATTGAAACAAACACTGAAACACGCAGAAATGCTTTGATGGTGAATCTGGCAACGAATAATATTGGTATTTAACTGGCACGATAAATACTGTATGGTATTTATTTTTATCTTATTTTCTTAATATGTTTGGATAAACTAAGTTTTACATGTGAAAGATATAATAATAACTGTGCACCTGTTAGGTGTTTTATCTCGTTTCTGATGAAAATAAAAAAATAAATGAGGCAGACAGGATTTCTTGGTTTGGCACTAAACCATGTCAGAAGAATTTACAGTGTAACCAAAGGCTTTTTGTGCACAACATGACCCCAGGATAGACAGGCAGTTCATTTTTATCCATTTATCAGGCAGAAAGATTGCAATAATATTGTGATTATCAAAATGCATCTTAGTTCAAGTGAAGCAGTTCAGGTGCAGGTTGTAGACAAACGACAGCGCAGGAATAGTTGTACCAAGCTCACTTACAGTACTGTTAAAGGGTGTGTGCCGACTTTCTTCAGCTGGGTGAGAGCCTAGTGTGGGTATACAAACCTCTTTCTCACTCATTTCTTCTGATACCCTATCTTTAAGAGGAGGTGAGTCTCACTGACTACCCCAGAGCTCCAAAGATGCTGCAGTTTTCATGGGTGAGATGGGATGGGCAGAGTTTGAGAAGAGTGCTGTTGTCAGGCAAAGGGGCTGTCTGATTTTAAAATGGAGGTGTCTGCGTCATGGCAGCCCTTGCCATTCATGTGTTCTGTGTGGCTGTCGATGCTATAGCAGCCCTGCACCTCAGTGATGGAGGAAGCTGTGTAGGAGGCTGAGCGCAGTGCATCTGAGTGGTTTCCTACGCTGCTGCCAAACTGGATGTTATACTGGTTCCAGTGCCGCCTCAGAACTGCTTGGACCTAACCAAAGAGATCGCATGTCAGATACTGCAGCTGCTTAGAAAGTATTAGCTGACTTAAAACTACAATTCATGCACACAGGGTTAGGTTTAAGACACCAGCCGGCTCTAAGGATAACACAGAGGATGTTGTCTAGTTTATCCTGTATCACATGGAAGAAATGTGGGTACAGTAAGTGTGCGTATTTGTGCATGCATGTCTAAAAGCATAGTGAAAAGGCATAACCCCTTACTTCTCCATTGAAAAAGCAGAAGATGGTGGCCACCAGCAAACCCTGGAATAAAAAAATGAGAAATGACACACACCTTAATAGTTGATTTAAAACATGAACAGTCAATTGTTTGCAGATGATATCTTAAGTCCTAACGTGCTGTGAGGTTGAGAAACTTTGAGGTCAAACTGAATGCATTTTGAAAACTGATTCAGCCTCTTGCGCAAGACTCTGTCTGTGCACTGCCTGTGGTCCAACAGTACAGGATTATCAGATAACACCTCAACCTTCAGCTCAGATAATGCTGCTGTTCTTCCATTTACTATAACATAAACTATCCTCAGAGGTTGACTGGAATGCTTTTACTAAAAGTGAAATAATGAGGTTTATATCCAGGCAACAGTTCGTTCAGAAGTGACTCTACCTAGGACAAGAAAGACACTAACGTGTAATGAAGCATCATAAAAAACTGATACAGAATATGGCTTCACAAAAACAGTGTGGAGGAAAACAGCAACAGACAGTTAATAAACATATAGACTGAGCATGCATTTGAACAGCATGGCATATAATGTGCAGCAGTTTGTGTATATTTTAAATAGAAACATTCAAACAATCTGGCAACTGAAATGCTTCTTGAATCATAAAGTCGTTTTAGATGTTTTAAAATGCCCCCCAGTGGACAAGTGGACAGTGCTAAATACTAGTGTAAATGATGGACTGTGATCCAGTCATGAAGTGGACAGTGCTAAATACTAGTGTAAACGATGGACTGTGATCCAAACCACTTGCTGAGGTGGTCTGGGACACATCTGACCACATATGGTTTGTAGTTTAAAAGCTGAAGTATCCTGATGCGTTCCTGACACCACTGCAGGACATGATGGCTGTTTTGGTGAGAGTGTGAAGAGAAATGTGTGCATCGATGTATTACATCCATGTACAAATCTGATGCTTGTCTTCTTCTTCTTCGGTTTGGGGTTTGTCTGGCAACAGACTGATGTAATAACTGTGCACTTTTGACCTCTTAGAGGAGGTAACACAGCATGACATCTGAACACAAGTGTCAGCTGGAGACGTTCAAGACACATCGTCTCACCTGATAATGCATTAGTATGTTCATGATGTAGTCGTATATCTCGGAGGAGACCCGTCCTGCTGGCTTGTAGGGGAGCAGGACGTACTGAATTCCCAGAAGAGGCACCAGGATAAGGGTGGCTCTCACTGCCTTCATGTAGAGACTCGACTCTGCTTGATGGGTCACCTTCAGTTTGGTGATGAGCACTCGCACAATGTTCAGTAGAAAGAACAAATTGACCTATGGAGATACCATAGAGGACATCATCATAATATCATGTTGGCATCTGGTTTAAGATTTACTTAGAATAAGTGGTAAATGCAACTTCTCAATATCTTATAAATAAAACTGTAATTTATTCAGCCACAGAATCTATAATCTAAATATCCTCTGATGACTTCATACAGCTGCCAGACCCTGACTCCTATTCTTACTATTTTTAAATCAAACAAAAGGGTAAATTCAGGTCCTATACTGCAGACATGTATGAGGTTGAGAAACAAGATGAGCAGAACTACAAGACATTTTTTTTGTATTTGAAAGACCTGACTATTGGTTGTCTGAGGCAGAACATTTAGTCCTAGGAGAGTCTTAAGGGACCACTTTTCTCTGAACATGCCTGACTGTGCTGATTAGGTGAATTCCTAGAATTTTACATGGGCCTGAGGACCAGCGGGTAGAGGGGCAGAACCTCAATTATAATGCTATGAAACTGTGTCCTGCTTTCAGGCCCCCCACAGCATCCTCTTAGAGGAGACAAAAGTGGCTTGTTGTTACTTGTTGCGAAATAAAAACCGTGCGCAAAGAGAAATATGGAACTAATCAGTTTGTTTATTTTGGTCAATCACTATTGTTGTGATGTAGGCAGGAACATGACTGAACCTTCTTACCAAAAGAGCAGCACAGATGGGACCATGGATGATGTAGAGTAGCGATGTTTTGGAGCTAATCCAACAGCTACAGCGGGGGGGGTGACGACAGAAGAAAAAAAAAATACACAACAGTATTAATGCCTCACATGCTGGCTGAGCTGTGTTGCACATTAATGTGTTTCCTGAGAAGATAATTTGCATGAAGACGTTGGGAGAATTCATAACAAATGCTATCATCCAGTTTTAATGTGTTGCTGAACTGCACAAGATGCAGACAAACAAACAGCAGGTAATTTCAGACCAATCTCAACCTTCAGTGTGTCGAGTTAAAACTGTCTGTGGACATTTATGAGACTTGGAGTCGATGGTACAAATAAGTCTTTTGAAATGCCCTGTTAAAAAAGGCTAAGGTAGCTGGGAGAGCTTTATGTTTCCTCTTCAGTAAATGTTTATTGATCAAAACGGTGTGCCATGGTGAACAGACTACCAGTGGGAAGTAAATCACACAGAAAAAATAGCAAGAAGCTCAAGGAGCTGAACTGATGGGCTAGAAAGTTACAGTTTAGCAACAGTTAACTAACTAGTCGTGTGAGTAGTGAGAAAAGTCCAAAGGAACTTAATTTCTCCACCTGCATTTCAACCAGATCCAAATTTAGCTCAAGCAACTTTTAGCCCAGAGGTTTTTGGACCTTTTTTTATTCCTGGGAACAAAACGTACCAGGAGCCTTCTGGTGGAAAAGCACCTGAAGTAACCATGTTTTTGGCCACCTAGTTTGCATGGATGAGCAAATCTTACTTTATGGTCGTTTTCTGGATTTGGTACAAAGTGAGGATTTAATAGATGCATAGTTCATACACTTGAGTTCTTACTTGTCATTGTAGTAGTAACTTCTAGCGATGGCATGTATGGTAGCCGGAATGAGAGGAAAGCCTGCAAACACAGTGAGTAGCTCATTAAAAAAACTAGAATAAAACCCCACAATCTCAAAACTTTACATAGTTGGAATTCATCTTGTAGTTTGAAATGCTAAGTTGGTGACAGCTTCATTTATTACAACTATAGAAGCGGCTAGGTTTGTATCTCAGACGTACCCCAGCCTAGAAGATAGTACCACATCAGGTGTTGTTTCTCAGCAAACACGGCCACCACGATGAGCGTGTGCAGGTATATTCCCTCACACAGCATCCAGAAGTAATTACAGCCAAACAGGTACAGATGAATGAACTGGGACACTTTGCAGCTCGTCTGAAGAAGGAAAACATCCACAGAATAAATGCGAATGGTTGATGTTACGTTTTTACTCTGCTTTTGTCATTTCCTGGTATAGTCCTATTACAATTATGTGAAATACTGTAAATAAAATAATGTTACTGTAATAACACTCCCCATGACCAAGATTGCAGTTTCTAGAGCAGCTTTTCACCTGATTTATGTTTAAGTACTGAAACTAGGACGACAAAAGGAACCACTCATATTCAGCATGTAGAGATATCTATGATGTAATTGGAAAATGAATTAGAATGAACAATAAAAAAACTACAAATGTGTATATAAACTCACTGGATTTCTCTGCACCAGCTCCTGGTTGTTTGCCACTGCTGTCAAAAAAATGATGGTGACCACAGAGTTCAGAACAAAAGAAAAAAATAGGTTTTTGTGGAGGGTGATCCTTTGGCAACTTAAACTCCTGCAAAAGAAAAAGAAGACATTATCAGGTTGCTACTGATTTAAGTGAGAGCTAAGAAAAATCAGCCTATAAAGCATGTTAAGATGAAATTTGCTGGCTCACTTGAAATGAAAGAATATTCCAAGTGAGATAAAGAGGGATGTCAGCGACAGTCCATGTCCTATGAGGGCTAGGTAAAAAAGATTCATTGCTGTCTGGAAGGGAACAAGAGACACAAGTTAGATTATACAGATGTCCTCATGACTATTGTGAGTCAGTAGACATTTAGTGTCACCAGGATGTTTCTGCACAGCTAAATGTTTTCATATGCTCTCGTGCTCTTGATGAGAACTCATAGCCTTTCCTCCTAGGATGTAAGAATGACGTTCAGATCATGTTTAATTAAATGTTAAGTAATTACTGAATAGGAAATGGATGACTAAGGATGTTAGATGATGTCATGGATATCCATGGTCCATGTAACGACTCCTCAACCTTTCATTTAGCAACATCCTGTTGAACAACTGTTCCCACTGGTCAAAATGTTGGTCCACAGCAAGGCACATGCTGTGAAGGTCAGATTTCCATTTGCTGTGATTAATTATAATTGCCAGATGAACAAATCCTGAAACTTAAATACTCTAAGTGGTGTGTGTGTGTGTGTGTGTGTGTGTGTGTGTGTGTGTGTGTGTGTGTGTGTGTGCATTGGTCTGTTTGGATTTTCCTTTCCTGCCATGAATGAATGCACTTGTGCTAAGGTGGGGGGGGGGAGTAGTGCAGCAGAGGTTATGTGTATTAGGCAGCACAGTGCAATTTTAGATTTTGACCTGAAATTGCAATAAAACCTGCTGTTAAATTGCAAATGAAGGTACATGGCAACTTTCCCAAAGACAGTCTAGGCTAAGAAGCATGAGATCAGGTACCCAAATGTAGGTTAACAACCACACCAACTTGAAATAAACCCGTAAATCCACAACTGATCTTCAGGAATTCACTGTGAATAAGTTATTGTGAAACTATTTGTTTTGTTACTGCCACTCTCTGGGCAAACATCACACTTTTAATCGCCCCATAGAATCATTTCAGAACGTTTCAGTCAACTTTAGCATAACATTTGTGTTCAGTTGTACCTTTTATTTTAAATATATGTATGAGAAAAGTCTACCGATGTCCACAGTGATGCATGTACAATAGTTTGCACACTGGCGACCTTTTACTTTCCTATCATCTCTGCAAAGAGTACAGTAATTACCTAGAGATTTACTAAAAGGTCAGTTCTTTGTATTTTATACGCTATTATAGGTTATATACTTTTAAGGCCATATCATAAAGGAACCGACCACTCTGCCTTCGACGGTGTGTTCATTGCAGCGGGTGTAGTTGGTCCATGTCCGGTTGCTCTCAGGATGCTGGAACCAATGACCATTGTCAGTGCAGATCTTGGTTACCATCTCTGCAAGCACAAATGAGACAAAACACATAAGACTATTTCAGTCCTGCAGATTTAATTTTAAAGAATATTTCTTGGTATTTATTATTTGCAGCAAAGCAGGTGATGCATCTGCAAATCCTCTTGATGGACGTACTGTGCTCAAATTTTGGCTCAGAGTTCCAGCAACTGCAACAAATTTATTGTAATAAACACATTATAAATTTATATACATGATAGGCTACATATCTCTCTCCACTCATGAAGCCTTGTGTTTCCTGGTCATGTGTTGTAGCTGGTTTGTATGTTTAGCATCTGAACCAACTGCAATGCACATATTTCTTTTATTGCATTTTTTGCTGTTCCAGTTTGAGTGGCATTTTTCTCACCTGGAAACAAACTAAAAGTGGGAAGCACTCAAAGATAGTGCAGCAGAATTCAGCATGTAAAGATTAGCTTATTATAGCTCAGCCTGTGAAATCAGCTATTAAATACAGTATATGCTGTGGTTCTGGAGGCGCTATAACTCAAATACTGCCATAAGGGTTGTCTCGCTTTGGGTTTGCCACCTGCACATTTAGAACCAGAAGCTCACATTACAAACTAAGGGTGAGGATTTGACATGATACATCAGTGTCTGCTGCTTTGATTTTGCCAAACTTGTAAATGGACCAAGCATGTTTGGTTACTCTGAGCCACAGATCTCACCTGAAGGATCAAAATCCTGGAAGTAGTCTGGGCAGTGCTGCTCTGAGATAACGCCTGGTTTAGTGTCATCCCAACACAGCCAGCCATCCCAAGTGCGATTACACATGGACTCTAAGACCACAGAGAGCATTAGTGGCTACCAACAAATGACAGAATACTAGTGCCTTTGCAATCAGAACAGACAATATTCAGTATTTGGACCATGAAACCATTAGGAACTGACCACTGGTTCCACTAAGACCTAGATTAACAGCATAAGCTGTTACTAGCATTTTCCAGAAAGACATCCCAGCTACCTTGTCTGCTGTGGGTATTGTCCTTCATTATCTTTTGATAGCACTCAAATTGTGCAGTAACTATCTTGTTCCTGGTCAGGCCTATGTCATGGTAGACATTGGTTGAATGCTGCTGCTGGGTGTCATTGACCTCCAGGCTTCCCTTCACAAAAAACTGCAAGGAAGGAGAGAAAAGGCAAACATGTTAAAATAAAAATTCCTAATAACTTTCCAGTAGTTTTGATGTCAATTCATGAGCAGTTTGCATATTTCCATAATTTGTCCATATTTTGCTCCAGTAACATTTTATGAACAGGAGAGGAAAGACAAAAAAAGTACAGGCTTTTCTGAAGAAGCCTTATTTCAGAAAAAGTATTTTTACTTGGGGGTTAAAGTAAGACAGTCATCATATCCTATGCAAAACGCCTGGAAAGGGAGTCTAACCTACAAAAGCTTCCATTAAATCCATCTGTGCTCCATGGAAAACATGACATCTTGGCAGAAACCAGATGTGTCTGACTTTGATTACACAGCAGATGTCAACCTGAAGCTGATTTTTCATCCTTTAACAAACATCAGTGTAAACTGACAAACAGTAAATATGTTTAACAGATCAAAGCTGAATAGTGAAATACAACCCCAAATCAGAAAAAGATGGGACAGTATTTAAAATCAAAATTAAACCTGAAAATTCTGTAGCGTCCCAACTTTTTCTGATTTGAGGTTGGACACTATGTTTTACAGCATTGTTGGACTTCTCCACACATTCATTATTTAATTAAGTATAATCTGTTTGCATGCTTTTAGTATTTGCTTAAGTGACTGCAGGCTATCCTACCTCTGTAAGATTACACAGCAGTATGAGTGCCACTACCCAAGTCCTCCAGGTCCTGTCCATCTTCCTTTTGGCCATGTTAAAGCTGGTTGATGATTTGCCAGTTGCAGATCTGGAATACAGATGAAACAATTAAGCCACAGTGCTTCTTATCTCTCCCACAGTTGATGTTTTTTTCCCAGTAATTTTAATGTACTAGTGTATTTACCATCACAGTTTGACACTTATTGAGACCTAGGGTAAACATGATTTATCTACAACAGCATACACACACTGATACAGTTTACTTTATCTCCCAGCTGACCCCAGAAACTGATCCAGAGCAGTCAGCACCTTGATCTGATCATGCTGTTACTGATTGTACGGGTTAAGCTTGGAGCTAAATGTCCTCCCACTGCCAGTAGTTAGTATTTTGGCTTGCAGAAGAAAGAACAACACAGCTGACAAAATAAGCAGCTGGAATCAGGCCACAAAATTCTAGTGATCAGAGAAAGTTCCCTGACAAAAGTCATGCAAGAACAGCTGAGACTTAAAAGCTCATAGTCTCACTGTTGCTGTTTTGTTAGTCTGTCCATTATCATCAGTTCTTAAAAGTGATAGCAGTTTCAATTTGGGTTGAGGGTGTGTTAAACACGTTTCATTGGTTTTTCATCCAAGCAGCTGCAGGCCACTGGGATTTTATGTCATGGCTGCCACATATAAGAAAATTCAAACGGAAAACAAATCACTCAGGTTGTACAAATCTGCTTTGCAAAACAGTGGGTGTATTGATGCTTGGTTAGCCTTAGATAGCTTAAGCCTGCCTGCTAGTGTTTCACCATCCAAGAGGCAAATGTCTGAAACTCCTACAGTTTCTTCTGTTTAGACTCTGTGGTTGCTCTTACCTGACTCTCTCTATCTGGGTGCTCTGTTACATGTCTTTACATTTGTTTTCTGCTTTTTTGTTTTCATTTGAAAATTTTGCAGCAAATCTATTAATAAAGCATGAGCCAAGACTTCCGTACTTGCAGCGTAACCAGAAACAGACACAGGTTCTTGTGGCAACGTTGCTTTCACTGTGAAACTGTACATTTTTCTTTTTAACAGCTGAGGAAAGTAAAGCGGGGGGCAGAATGAAAGAAAAAGAGGGAGAACCAGAGCCCAGGATGACATGCAGGTGGATTACATCTCACTCAGAAGTGAAATTTAATAATGTCATTCATGCCCCAAAGGAACCAGGTCATCACTTGTATTTGCAACATCTGTAGTGTAATTAAATTTTGGGGAATGGAAACACACTGCAACAGGGAAATTGGAAAATACATCGAAGGGGTAAGGATTTACAAGGTATCTTCAGTGTTAGGCACACAGCTTTCTATTCTCCATTTTTCCATCATGGATGATAAACTTGTTTTTAAACTCATCATTGTGTTTATGAGGAACAAGGTAGTTTTTAACATCTTGGGGGCAACTCAGAATATTAATCTGCTAAAATAAAACAGAACCGAGGAGAAAAAGAAGTAGAGCTGGTGTTAATACTACGAACCAAACAGAGTCCCTCTGTTTAATCAAAAGCCAACAGTGCTGGTATCTTTTATAGATGACTCTCCAAAAGACGTCATCCTGAGAACGGGGAATAACTCATCCTAAATCAGTGTATAAGGAGACCAACATGATAAACCGTTTTTGTGCCATAAATTCTATAAATCAGAAGTTTAAAAATTGTGGGTGGAAAATGTTTGAAACTTCCCGTCAGCGCAGAGTGCAGAGCTGGCTAGTTGCCAATCTGGTCAGAGCACTGAGCTGTAATGAAGTGGTGGATAGTTTTTCACAGAGACCAGTGAGGAAGAAATGTATATTTTATGACAATCCACACTGGCGCTGTGTGCATATGAGTGTCCAACAAAACGTGTGAACCTTTGTTAAGCTCTGTCATCAATCCTTTACTGATTAGTTTCATTACAGCACTGTATGTTTAAAGTCTGTGTGTGTGATGTTATAATAGTGCAGACTGATTGAAAATGGATGTAACTATGCTTGTCTGTTTACAATGCAGACATCTAATGAGGCTCTGTGCTCGCCCAGTCTAAATCAACATATTACATCTGGTATATGTCTAGTGTCTGGCTTGTTTGGCGTATTACTGTAATACTTACTAACTTTACTAATGTCTAGAATGAGGGGCCTTCTATGTATTTAACTCAAACAACAGGGAGTTTTTGATATGTGGTAATTCTACTCTACAATAACTAACATATACATACAACTACAAAGATGCAGCAATGCAGCTTTGTCCAACTTCAACTTCATTGAAAGACTGAAAACTCATTGTTTAGTTTCCTAAACAAACTACTTTCATGGACAGTAACTCAGTGCAGCCTTCAGGGAAAGCAGGGGGCCACCATTCAGTGCATAACTGAGGGATGTGACCCCTCTGATGCTTACAGGTCTTCCTGCATCACCAGTGAGACTTGCCCAGTGCCTCCACAAGCCTGTTCAGCGTTAAGACACCATTACGTGGGGAGGAGCGGCTTACTGAAAGGGGGGTTGTAAAACATCACAGTAATGTGAAATTAGAAACGGTCAAAAAAATCAGCTGCTCTTGTATGGATGCAAACACACAAAAAATGCACATGTACACACACACACGCTCTTCTCTGCCAAGTTTTCCAGCTGTTTTTTCCATACATGAGCAGGCCCATACAGATGATATGTCATATGGACACAGATAACAGATACTAAACAAAGCTCACCCAATAGCTGCTTGGCACTTGTGTTTCTCCTTAGGTAATACAGTAAATCTACTAGAGAATCTCCAGCGTGAGATTTTACTCATTCCTTCCATCATCTACTCCACTTATTTACTTTTTTATTGAAACAAAGTAACACATTAACAAAACAGGACCGAACATGGGAGACAAGACAACAGTTACATGACATTACAAAAGGATATAGAGTGTTTAATGAGGTTGTAGTGTGTGAAGTGTGGGTATTTCCAACTTATGCAGTCTATGAAATGCAAGAAAAGGAAAAGGAGGGGAAGTAAATAAATAAAAAAAAATTACTACTAATAATGATGATAACAGTACTATTAAAAAAATCAGCTTGTTACATTTCTAGAGGTTGGTGGGAATGTGCATGGCCTCAGTCCCAGGTATTTGATTCAAGTTGAAATGTGTTAAAAAGAGCAGATCAACTATTCTTATGAGTTGATGCCATTTTCTCTAATGTGATGTATTCTATCAGAAGGTTGGTCCAGTGGTTTATGTGGAGTGATTTGTTTGATTTCCAATTTTGAAAGATTGTTTTCTACTTCACTTATTCTTGAATAGGGTCACGGGGGCCTGGAGCCAATCCAAGCTGACACTGGGTGAGAGACGTGGTCCACCCTGGACAGGTCGCCAGTCTGTCACAGAACTGACATGTAGACAAACAACCACACTCACTCACTCCTACAGGCAATTTAGAGTCACCAGTGAACCTAAGCTGCATGTATTTGGACTGTGGGAGGAAGCTGGAGTACCTGGAGAGAACCCACGCAGACACAGGGAGAACATGCAAACTCCACACAGAAATGCATCAGGTTGAAGCCGGAACCCTCTTGCTGTGTGGCCACAGCACTATGGTGCCGCTGTGCCGCCTGATTTTGTTCATTTCTTCCATGAATACACTATTCATGATGGAAAGACATTTACATTTTCAACAGTTAATGTTAGTCACAACATAACACATGCTAAACAACCAATATATAGACACTGACAAATGAACGAGTGCCCCCATCCACATGAGAGAATATCTATTGGATGTCACTCACGAGTTGTTTCTCCTATCACTGTAGAGACTGGCTTACACCAGGGGCACTGTCATACAAAACACATAAAGCAATGCAAGAATCAAAATCCTGAAAATAATGGAAAGATAAATATATACATCATAAATATTATTTGCTAGTTGCAGCTTAAAGCTGAGAAAGCAGCCTCCATAGAGGCACACCACTTGATTATTGACCTGTTTGGGTTAAGTTATTCCAGCCAATGGACAAACTGGGAGTGTTCCACTATCATCTGTAGTACCGCAGAGTGTTTCACAGAAGCGATTAGTCATGTTCACTTTCTACAGGAGCTGACATCATCATCCTCCAGCATGTAGAAAACATGCCTGGGAAAACAGCATATGCATAATAGCTGCTGTCTTCTCACCCAGTGCCAGAGCTCAGGCTTTATCAACTCCCTCTCTCTCTGCAGAGATAGGCTGTACTGTAAACATCCTTTTACCTTCACAGGATGTGAGAATCCAAGTTCCCCCTGTGCCATTCAAGTGTCCATTAGGCTAGCAAGAACCAATAACATCATTACTGCCACATCCTATAGCAGGATGTGGGCTTTACTTGACTGTCCCCTGTATGCAGAAGCACAGCAATCAATAAGAGAATTGTGTGCTGTGTTTATATTGCATATGTCTCTCTGCTATTATTGTTCATGATGACAGTTTTACACCTCACTAATGCCAGCAAGACATATTTCTGTACATTTGCTGCATATCTGAGAAAATAACAATGAGATAATAGTTTGCACTGTAATTCTTCTTTAAAGCCAATACTTAACATTTTCAATATGCATAATTGTGGCAGTAGAAAAATGAAAAAGTCAATAAGCCTGTAGTTTTTTTTTTCTTCAGTCCAAATTCTAAACAAAGTGGTCCTTTTTATTAAGAGCCAGTCTCAAATGCTACTGTGTTTCCCAAGGCATCCAAGTGCATCTGGTATAGGGCAAAAATAAATACTGTACTGTTGCACAACAATGTTTTCTCTACTCTGTTATCAGAGTTTGATAGTTATACACAGAACTGGTCATAGGGGTACGTTGTTAATTATCTCATACTTGCTATATAAACAAGAATCAAGAAAACATCTAGCACAGGAAATAGTCCAGTTGTGCCTTCTGGATCTGATTTCAGATAACCTGTAGTCTTTAGCTGTGATAAACAGGGGATGTCAGGGAAGTTTTGGTGAGGGTTCATGCAGTAAGGATTAGATACTGTAAGAATATAAACTCCAAAATTATTCATATCTACAAGGAGTGTAAAGGTACACATACTTTAGGTTTGGTGCAGATATGTATTGATCTTTAAACA